GCAGGGCCACCAACTTCCCCATTTAACACTAGGCCAGTTTGCTCAGGGCCCCATCCAATGTGGCCTTGAACACCTCCAGGGATGGGGCATCCACAACCTCTCTGGGCAGCCTGTTCCAGCACCTCACCACTCTCTCTCTGTCAAGAACTTCCCCCTGACATCCAACTAAATCTTCCCTCCCTCAACTTATAACCATTTTCCCTCATCCTGCAGTTATCAACCCTTTCAAAGAGTTGATTCCCCTCCTGTTTGTAGGCTCCCTTTAGGTACCGAAAGGCTGCAATGAGGTCACCCCACAGCCTTCTTTTCTCCAGGCTGAACAAGACCAGCTCCCTCAGCCTGTCCTCATAGGGGAGGTGCTCCAGCCCCCTCGTCATCTTTCTGGCTCTTCTCTGGACCCTCTCCAACAGCTCCCTGTCTTTCTTGTGCTGGGGACTCCACACCTGGACAGTACTCCAGGTGGGGCCTCACAAGAGCAGAGCAGAGCAGGACAATCACGTCCCTGTCCCTGCTGGCCACCCCTCTTCTGATGGAGCCCAGGATATCATCTGCTTTTCGAGCTGCAAGAGCACACTGTTGGGCTCATGTTAAGCTTTTCATCTATCACGACCCCCAGGTCCTTCTCTGCAATGCTGCTCTCAAGGACTTCTCCTTCCAATCTGCATGGACGCCTGGGATTCCTCTGGCCCAAGTGCAAAACCTTGCACTTTGCCATGTCAAACCTCATCAGGTTCACCCAGGCCCACCTTTCAAGACTGTTGAGATCCCTCTGAATGGCATCCCTTCCTTCCACCATGTCAACCGCACCACTCAGCTTGGTGTCATAGAAAAGTTGCTGAGGGTGCACTCGATTCCATCATCGATGCCACTGATAATGTTGTTAAGCAGCACCAGTCCCAAGACAGACGCCCTGCGGGATGCTGGCCTTCATCTGGACATAGAACCATTGATGACCTCCCTGTGTCTGCAGCCTGTTAAACAATTTCTTATCCATTGAGTGGCCCACCCATCAAATCCACATCCCTCCTATTCAGAGATAAGGATGCGGTGGGGGACCGTGTCAAAGGCCTTGCTCAAGACCAGGTAAATGACACTGGTTGCCTCTCCTTGTCCACCAATGCCGTCACTCCATCACAGAAGGCCACTAGATTGGTTAAGCATGACCTTCCCCTGGTGAAGCTGTGCTGGCTGTCTTGGATAACATGCTCATTAGCATAGGCATTAGCATATTAGACATCATCTGTCCTCACTGAAACAAGGAGAAGCCTTTAAAATCCTACATGAAATACAGGACCAGAGAAAGCATTCCTAAAGTATGCCTTTCCTTCTCTTTTTTTTTTTTTTTTTTTTGCAAGAAAAACCTTGAACAGGTAACGGATGCTGCTTTGCCAGTTAATTAGCAGCAATTTTTAGCAGAGAAACAATAATAAGATCTAGCATCATAGGCTTGTTCAGACAACTCTGAATTAAAACCAGCTACCAAGGAAACCCAGAGACAGTTTTCAAGTCTCCTAAAATGAAGGAAAAAATGAAAAAAAAAAACAACGATCCAAAGCAAATTCATGTAAAGAGAATGTAAAATGTTATCATCTCATATCAGTGGTAAAGTAAACAAGATGGAAGATGCACTGTATTGCTTCAGCGGACAATCAAATAGTTTATGACGCCTAACACAACTGTAGCACAGGCAGAACTGTGGAAACTGAAGGTAATTTGCCACCGAGACTGGAAATAACAGTTTGCTTTCCTAAGAAATATGTACCCCTGTACAATATCTTGTTTATGCAGCCCTGGACAGAAGGTTGCTTGCATCAAACCAGACTGAAGCATGCACACAGATTCTGCTTACATTTGTGTGTAGGTGGTTGTATGACTAGACTTGAAGAACGCTCAAGAATGGATCTGCAGATATCACTTCTTCATCACCATGGATGTGTTAGAGGTGTTCACAAAAGCATTTTAAAGCCTGTTAGATCACCTATGGGGATCTCAGACGCTGTGACTCAGCTGTACAAAGAACATCAGATGAACTAACAATGACAGTTTAATCACTAGTTGTAAACATCCTGTGCCTCAAAGGAAAACTCAATTTTCTTGCAATACATTGAAGTGATAAGTAATGACATTTTTAAGTATCAGCTGAAAGAAGATATTCCCCTGTGAAGCCTACAAGTATGTACTGTTTCTCACTGAGAAGAGAAATCTAAAATCCAAATTGTCAACGCAGAAGAGAAAGCTATAAAAAGGATAGCTGGGGAAGACTAGATGAGTAGCCTTTTCATAGTTAAAGAATATTTTAGCAAAATCTTTGAAAATGTTACTTTTTGGCCACGCAAGATGGCCAACATAACACAAGATGACAACCTTCATTCACATACGAAATACATGAGAAAGATTATTTAAGGATCCTGGAAGTCACTGAAATTTGTTAGGCCTTTGATTTTTAGGAGAATCTTATTGAGGAATGTTTCCGAGGGTACAAAGGTTTTACAGTATAACGTACTGATTTTAGACTATGGGAGAGCTTATTTCCTTCATAGAAACCCATACAGTGCTAAGATTTGCATCTGGGGCTAGAACAGTATTGGTAATAACACACCATTGTTTTACCTATTGCTAAGCAGTACTTACACAGTCAAGTCTGTGTCTGTCATACTGTCCTGCCAGTGAGGAAGCTGAGAGTGGGTGAGAGTTTCGTAAAAGATATGGCTGAGACAGTGAATCCTAACTAATCAGAGGAATCTCCCAAACCACATGAGAGAGTCAGCAATAAAAGCTGGGACAAAGAAGGAGAAAGTGGGGGGACATTTAGATTTCACTGGCATTGTCATCTTCTCATCACGTGTAATAAATTCTTGCTTCTCTACAAATGGTTCAACATCTGCCTGCTGATAGGATATAGCAACTGAATTCCTTATTTTGCTTTGTTTGTGGATGCAGTTCTGCTTCATCTTTTAAGCTGTCCTTATTTCAACCCAACTTCAGCAAGTTCCTTCCTCTCAAATTAATCCCTCTAGCCTCCACTGTGGAGGTGGAAAGGCAGTTAAGCAAACAAGCAGCAAGTGGTGCTTGCCGCTTACCGGAGTTAACATAAGTGAATAATTTTATATGACAATTTAAGATCTATACATAAAAGGGTTCTTAACAGACAGACAACACATGACAAAGTTAATATCATAATGGAAACATATGCAAGACACTCATTCACTAGGTTAAAGGGATATTTAACAGCCCTTCAGTTTTAACAGCTTTCACTTGTCCAGTATTTTTCAAGCAAAAGTACTTCCATCTTGCTACGCTGCTTCTAATAGTATATGCTGTAACCCACAGCCACGTGTATTTTCTTTCAGCAGTGAAATTACGCACTAAAGTCACCAGCTAGAACACCAACTTCATTGTTGACTTTGAGAGAACACAAGAGAGAAATCAACTTGACTTACAATGGAATTTTTATAAGGTTAATGAGTAAAGCTTAATAAATACACAAAATGTTAAAATACCAACTTGATATAAGTTGAATTTAAAATTGTGTTCTTACTTAGAACAGAAATAAATGGCCAGAATAAGTCAGATGCACTTGTAAAATGTTTACAGTGATTCATAAATATCTCTGAAGCCGAACTGCCAGCTAATTCAAAGCTTCTTAAGCATTTTCACACAACTCGTTGTTGTAAGCAAGGAACAGCTTCAAAATCATTTTATTTTCCTATTTCTCCATACTTTGTACTTCCATTATACATTTTGAACACTAGTCTCACAAACCCCCCGTGACTGTACAAACCATATTTCGCTACAGGTATCTGAAGGTCACTAGAGACTGGAAAGCTGATTAGGTTGCCTCCATACCTCCATTTCACATGACTTGGGCAAGTCATGACACAGTTCGAAATAGAACCCTAATCCACTAACTCTGAAGCTGTAAGCACATTCCAGTCACCTATGCCAAACAGCTTACTGGATGGAGTGACTTCAGGTATTACATTTTCTTCAGGAAGTTGGCCCAAATTCTACCAGTGTTAGCAGTTACTGAATACAATTACTGCCTGGGAAGCATTTGGAGAACTATGAAAAAGTATTTTAAAATCTATTTCTGAGTTCATGGAAATTGCTATGAAAAAACAAAGACATAGCATTAAATAGATTTTTTATAGCATTAAGTGACATCCAGGAATGATCCAAGGAAGGATGACCTAATCCCTGGGATCAGGCTGTTTACTCTTGAGCTTGTCAAAGTACACTGAAGAAGCAACTTGTTATTTCCTGACTTCACTGACTGAAACATCGCTGTTCTTATAGGACAAGATATGGACCACCTGTACCTTTACTTTCATTATTTAATACATTTTTATGAATATGCAACTTTACACAAATAAACTAAATCTACTGCTTTACCTAATACAAAGCTAAAGAAACATTTTCAGCCTTCAGAAATTTCAGTGCCCTCCCCCCCTCTCCAGTACCTTCTGTGTGCCCCCTTAATCTATAATTCTTCAGAGGAACCAAATCATATTTCTGGGTAGTCAAAACGTATATATATCTTTAATTTCTGTCACCATAACAATCCTTGTTATTGTCCCTCACCCTACTCTTCAAACATGTTCATGTCTCCTCCTTTTGTTGTTCTGCTGAGCAAACTGCCTACAGTAATGCCCATTTAAAAATATATTACCACAGGAATTTTTTGTCCCTTTTTTATCAGCTGAATTTGTTTTTTACCAAGCTGCGTATCTCAAGTTGTTTATAAACGTGCCTTAACCCTGCAGGCAACTCAGCACCACACAGCCACTTGCTCACTATCTCCTGGTGGGGTGGGGCTGAGAATCATAAAGATAAGCAGTACAGTAATCCATAGGTTGAGAAAAAGACAGTTTTCTATGGAAAGCAAAAGCCATGCACACCAGCAAAGCAAGACAAGGAATTCATCTGCTGCATTCCATCAGCAGGCAGGAGAATAGGGTCATCACAGGTAACCGCTTCCACAGGCAAACGCCATCACTTTGAATGCCCTGCCTTCTTACCTCACCCCAGTTTTCACTACCACACACGGTATGTGAAACCCATTTGGCTATCATGGGTCAGCTCTCCTGGCTCCTTGTGCATTCCTGCTGTCAGGGCAGAAGCAGAAAAGTCATTGACTTCGCATAAGCACTGCCCTGTAACAACTTAAAACATCTGTGTCCTATCACCGTTTCCATCAAAAATCCAAAGTACATTATCATGCAAACCTCTATGAAGAAAATTAACTCCATCCCAGCCAAAACTACGGCAACAGTCTGCTCTCCTTACAGTTCATCAGCAACGAGTTTTGCTACTCCTTCACTCTTATTTCTTTCCAGAGCACGACCAAATCGGGCAACCCAGAACTATAGCTGTGCTGGAAAAGCCCTGGATAGAGAGACAGCAGCAGCCTCGCCCAGAGGACAGGACGATGGAAGCAGCAGAGGGCTGACGCGGCCAAACTCCCGCAGGACAGGAAGCACGACCTGGAGCTGCCATGGCACCAATCAGGGCTGCAAAGGGGACAGCCTGAGGTATGGGAAAGTCCTTATGACGAAGAGGGGGATATAGCCGGCCACCGCTGTACTCACTGCTTGTAGGGGTCGTGGAAGGGCAGAGCCAGCCAATCGCCGTGCATGGAGTGCATGTAGCCCACCATTTCCTCGGCGCTGTGGTCAGAGGAGATGAAGACGACCTCGAATGGCGCTGGCGGCTGGCTTTCCTCCAGCAGCTCCGTATAGAAGTCGCAGAGCACGGGGGTGAAGTCGCGACATGGCGAGCACCAGCCGGCCGAGAAGTAGAGTCCTACTACCTTGTTCTGCAGTGCCTCCTCAGGGTCCACGCTGCGGCCGTCCTTGCTGACCAGCAGCCGCCCGCTGAACACGTCCACCATGCTGCCTCTGGGGGGGAAACAGCGGAGCAAGGTGAGGCACTCCGGGGGCGGCACGCGCGCGCGCAGGGCGTGGCCGTGCCCCTCCCCCGTAGGTGCTGAGGGATGGCGGACGCCAGGGGGCCGGGTGACGGAGGGCAGTGCCTGTGCCGCAGGGCGGGGGAATCGTCCCCAAGAGCTGAAAGCAACCTTTCACCGGGACGAAAGTCGCATCCCCATCAGCTTTAGAAAACTTCTAAAGTTTGATTAAAGGGATATGGTTGGGGGCGGTAACCACACGTGGCACACTGTGTCATGTTCAGTAATTGCACCGCATTCTGTTGGAGGAGAATATACCTTAAGCCAAAACTGACCAATACAAGTGCTGCTATTTCTTTTGGATACTTTGAGCTCAAATTACGGAGCTACTGCTACAGAAAACATTACACATTAAAACTGGCCTTCACAGTTGCTGGTCCTACTTTTTCAGCTGCAGAGCCTCAAAAATGTATTCTTTTTTGGGAAAAGACAGAGTTGTGGTCAAAGTACATCATGACTGAAGTACCGAAAACCAGTACTAATCATAATAAGTATGCAGTTTGGCAACAAAGTCCTCGGGGAAGGACTTACACAGATGTCTCCCAACCATCTGCCATAGAACTGCAATATTAGAAGTCAAATCATAGAATCACAGAATGGCCTGGGTTGAAAAGGACCACAATGGTCATCAAGTTTCAACTCCTCTGCTATGTGCAGCATAAATGTTCAGATCTCATCTGTTACAGGAAGAAACTGAAGACAGGCCCCTCAACCCTTCCTTCTGAGGTCTCTTTGAAGTGCTTTTTCCCCCCTTGACTTGGTCAGTTACTGTCACTTTTTGTCTTGAGACAATGAGAGAAGGAATCTCTTAAAAAAATGAGCAGAAATAGCACTGCAATATCATTTCTATGTGTGTTTTTGTAACTGTTTAGATGGATCATTTTGATTTGAGGCATGCATCCACGTGTCAGTTTTTACTGCTTTTTTTCTATTATTGCAGAAGTCAAGGATAATACCACTTAAGTGCTAATGAAAAGATGGCTTGTGCTTCTTGTGCAGAACTTAATGCACCTTTAAAAAAGCATAATTGAGAGGTTAGAATTGTTATTCTTTTACAAATTATTTATGTCTATTTAAATTAATCCTTCAGAATCAGGACCTTTTTACTTATGATCTCATATCTGACTAACTTGTAATCACTGTTCTGTTATTTCACTGAATGAAAAAAAGGAATTATTGCATGGGCATTTGGAAAATGTTTTTTATTCAAATACAGCTTTCATCCATTTTCACGGACTGCTTTTGGTTTCAAATCCAAGTGTCTTTTCAAAATAGAAGTAGCATTTGAAACAAAGTAATCCCCATATCTCTTATAAATCATTTCTCCAAGTTTTGAATTAAGTTTTGTGATGTCCTCCTTCAGGCTTGCACTGGATATCCAAAGGAGAAGATTAAAGTAGCTGTGGAAAGTTGCTTTTTAAAATGACACAGAAAGTAAGTTTAACTAAACTGACCCTTCAGCTAAAGCTTTTGCTCTACTGTCTGCCTTTCTGAGACTACCTGTGAAAAAGGACAGAGAGAGAGGGCCTTTGGAGAACTGGGGAATCACAGGAAAACATAAAAATATTCCCATAAAAGTTCAGGCTATCACAGGGTCACTATTAACATTCCCACCAATATGTCCTACCAGTAAAAGACCTTCCCCTCCTCTCCCCTCCCCTCAATTAATTATGAACTGAGGCAATAATCCAAGGAACATGCAACTATCTTACACTGTGCACTAGAAAGCTGGTTAGCCAGATACTGCAGTATTCCATAAAGAAAGGTCATTATCAAGACTGTCTTCTGGTCCTCTCGGCAAGCAGTAACTCAGGGAGTTAGTAATTACTGACTACTACTGTAGTCAGTAACTACAGCTCCACAGGGAGAAATCTAGGGGCACAGGTTGCAGCTGCCTGTATTGAAGTTAACAAGAATAAAAGGTAGTCCAAGCTGATAGGGAATATTGCTATAAATAATGCAGTTCATTGCTTCTCCCTGTGTTTTTAACTTAAAAGCCTGTCTGCAAGGAAAACAACCAATTTTTTTTTTCTTCTGGTAATTCTTATAGCTTCAACGATCTTGTATCTGAGAAGTAAACTGTACTACCTTCCAAGGTAATTTTCGTTGGATATATTTCCTTTTATGTAAGCATACAAGCAATGAAAGTCAGGAGAAACTTTAAAGCTTGTGTAGATAAGGCTTCATGGATAGAGTTGCACCCTGTCTGTACAGAAGATAGGTATAGACATGCATGTTAGCACATTAAAAAAATTATTAGTTGATGTGATCCAGGTTATAATGTTGATGTTAGTTTTAATAAATCTATTGAATATAATAGCTACAGAGCATTAAAAACAACAACAACAAAAACAACAAAACCAACGAATACTTTCCCCAAGAAGCTTAATGTGTTCATCTCTGTCAGGACATCAAGATTCACTGAAAATGCAGCATATTGCAGAAAGTCTTATCTTGCATCTGCTTGTCTTTGGACCATAAAGAAAATTCTCTGTGACATTAGCATGGACCAATGTAAAAAGTCTCATTTTATGACTTATCTAAGCAGGCTAGAACCTGCTTAGATTTTGTCTAGAAATGTTTTCCAGGAGTATTCTCATTAGAGATGTTAAAATTACTGTGATTACTCCATTTCCTCATCTCCTGACAGTAACGGAGCTCTTGATGCAGAACATGTGATCTTTTCTCAAGGGAGCATCATTAGCTCTTAAGATGACACTATCAGAAAGGTTGCAAACAGTATTTATTCAGTAGAAGTTCCTGGAAAAACCGAGAATAAAGTAATTAAAATAAAAATTAAATTTCCCACCATATAACATTGCATTTCTAATTTTGCTGAAAAAAGGCTTTTAAATACTGAATTTAATATTCTAGTGTAACATTGTTTAGTTCTGTCTTTTAATCTGAAAGCAAGACTTTCAAGTTATTTTTACTTAGATTGCAATTAAAATCCTACTTCCCACTCATATTTAGCCTCAGTTAACTATGAATGAATTAATTGTAAATCCAAATCTTGACAAGCCTATGAGAATTAACAAGAATATCAAGATCAGTTACATAAATCTAATTATGTTTTCAATGACTGAGGGCATTATTCTGAGAAAGAGACATGGAAGAAATGAAAAACAAGCAATAATTGATCAAAATTGCTAACTCCTACATATTGTGATTACTCTCAAGGCAGTATAATTCCATACCCTTCTGACTGCAAATCTAATGTCTGCATTATTTTATATATTATTTTATATATAGCTCTGTAAACTATACGCAAGTTAAAATACAAGAAGATTCCAGAAGGTTCAAGTGTTTTCTTGATACAAGTACATTCTTATTACACTTCACTCTCTCCATTGTCTCTATTAGTTGGGAATATTCTGAGAAGCAAAGGATATCTGATTCAGTTAGCATTTCCAATATGTAGTCTTTTAAGAGTCCAGATAGCACTTGCAGTATATATATGATGCTCAATATTTAATTGAAAAGGTGTTTGACTCAAGGATTCAATGTGCTTTTATTTCTTGAGCATTCTGTAGGAAATGTGTACCTATATTGCACAACTAACATTGACAAGCCATGTAATCAGAGAATGGAGCCACAAGGCACAAGCTGACTGTACTAAGAGGAGAGTTCTAAGAGGTTGGAGGCTTGTTGGATCTGTGTTGAATTTAATCATTACCACACTGCATATGCAGTACATGTATTTCATTACACCCTAATTAAAAATTGAAAGAGAGAAACATAATCAGTATGAACTTTGCTTGAGCAAAACTAAATGTAATCCCTGAAGAAGTCAGATTAAAACTAACCCTCAAGCATCCTCCTATGTTTTGACACCGGCTAGGAAGAATGGCAGCCTGTAAAATGACATAATCAGAAGGAATGTATAGATTAAAGATAAGTACCATTTGGATACACAATAGACTGTTAAAGACTACATTTAGTGCAATAGTGCTGGAACATTCAAACCTTTGGATGTAGATTTAGCAAAAGCTATTCGATTAGTCAGAACTCAGGTGTCTGCCGATCAAGCTGGTCCTGCCAAATCAAACCTTCTGCATACCACATACGGGGATAAAGTCCCAGAGGTACACATAAAGAATATGCTGGGGAAGACAGACTGGGTCATTCCTGCCTCAGGCAAAGACATGGGATTGCTTTTGCTCAAGGACCTGGGTGTATGTGGTAGGTAATGTAGAAGGATGGGAATGCCCCTTTTGTATCTCAAGGTGATTTGGTATGGGGAGATACATGTTGGAAACATCCAAATAATTTTTGTCAGGATAGTATCTCTGATAAAAGCAGATTCTATTTGCAATTGCAATGGCGGGAGCGCCCGTAGGACTAGGACACAGTGACAGCTTTTGTACCTTGTTTCTCCCTGTGCCCATCCCCATCCCCCTCCCATTTCCTCATTGGCTGGGTACTCCTAGTTCACAATCTTATCAAACTTTACATTTGTTAATTGGGGTGTTATCTGGTGTCAGTCAGTAGCCATCCTGCTGTTTCCAAGATGTCTCAGTGCTCTTCTTGTATTGATAAGGTGGTTTTCTTCAAAGTCTTCATTAAACAAAAAGAGCCAGGGCATGGGAGGCTGCCAGGCCTTCCAGATGCTTCTTCAGGCGCTTCCTTGGGCACGCCATGACTTGTTTTCTGGTTTGATCAATCTCATGCAGGATATTCTCACCTTGTGTATGATAAAATATACATATATACACCTATATACTGAGCGTGCATTCTAGGGGAAGGCTCATGTACAGGGAAAGTGATGCAGCCTATCAGAGACCATCATCAAGTAAAGCAGAAAGACTCCCCAAAAGAACTATGGCAGTGGAGACCATGAAATAAAAAAAAATTATCCGATTCTAATGCAGAAATAACACTTGATTTCAACAACACTAACCTGTGAGCACATGAGACCAGCACATGAAGAGATTACTGAACCAAAAAGATCCAATGTTACCTGAT